TAATCCCTAATCCCAGCACTCAGGAGGCAGAGGCAGGCAGATCTCTGAGTTCAAGACCATCCTGGTCTACATAGCGAGTTCCAGGACAGCTGGAGCTACAGGGAGACCCTGTCTCAAAAAGACCAAAAAAAAAAAAAAATTAAACTGAATAGAAGTGAAGGTTTCTATTGTAAAAACTTGGATAAAAAGCAAATTTTGTGCCTTTCTGGCCTGTGGACTTTCCTTTGAATTATTTAGAAGCTATGCTTTTAAGGAAAATGGTAAAGAAATACTAAAAGCATTCTGTACTTTTAAAAGTATTTTGTTGATTTAGTAGATTATGTCTTTCTTTCCTGAAAAGGAGATGTTCCATTTGAACTTGAGTATGTAGTGAAGATAGTAGAAATATAAACAAAATATTTAAGCAGTGACATGATGTTGAAAAATTAAAATTTCTGTTTGCAGAAATTTCCTCTTTAAGATGTTCTGAAATGCACAATTCTGGTCAGAATACAGAGTCTTTTTCCTAGAATTAAAGTTGGTTGCACTTTAGTGGCTAAATGTTATTTTGACTCTGGAAACAGAACAGAAACAGGACTCTTGAAGTAATGATACCCTTTTGCTTTTTTTATTCTCTAAGAATAGGCATTCAGGGGCTGTACTTTCAAGGGCATACTGTTCTTGCAGAGGACCTAAGTTTGGTTCCCATGTTGGGCAGCTCACAGCTACATGTAACTCTAGCTTTAGGGGATCTGACTCCTGACCTCCACTTGCACTCACATGCACACATATGCGTACACACACACACAAACACACACAAATAAAAATCTTAAAAAATAGGCTTTCAAAAATGAAAAGAGTGAGGGAGCCCCAATTCTCCTGAAGGATATCGAGCACTTGCCTCTCATACCGTGCTTGGGAGAACCTGAACTTGGACTGGCACATATGCCCTTTCAGTCTTGCCCTTGCAGTTCTGTTTGTATGAACAGTTTTGCTCCAGTGGACCATGGAGAACAGTGCTCTTTTTAAAAGGTATAGCTATTTGACCAAAAAGTTTCTTGACCTGTACTCTGCTGTTTTGTAAAATGTCTATTTGAGTAACAGGTTTGTAAACTGTTGATGTCAGTCTTCTTCCTTATAACATTTTGTCTCCTTCTGAGCCTGAACTAATAACAGAGTACGTTAAGAAGAGGTGGCATTTTAAAAGGGTAATTGATGTTTGGGTTAGTAGTGCAATTTGTTTTCTTTTTCTCAATAAAACTGGGTCTTGCTTTGTTGCACAGACTGCCCTGTGCCCTGGGCTCAAGAGATGTTTCTACCTTAGATGCCTTCCCACTGAATGGTTTAACTACAGGCACATGCCACTGTACTTGGGTACTGAGACTTTGTTCTGTAGAGTTAGTGGCAATCTTGGGGACAGGAAAGAGGAAAAGGAAAGAGGAAAGAAATTAAATAGAGACTGTATAAGAACAAAAAGGACCATCAGTTATTATGTGTGATCCTTTAAAAAAAAAAGTCCTTCTCTAAGATGCTCTGAATATACATTTCTGATCAGAAAGTAAGTTTGAATACCAAGCGCCTTTGTTCTTTCTTGGTGGTGATACTAAGAATCAAGCCCAGGGCCTCATACATAACTAGACAAGCATTCTACCAATAGACTGCATCCCCAATCCTACTTTTCTACTTTTTAATTATTTAACAAATGAAGTGGAGAGACCTTGCTCTCCTGATCGTTTGAGAAACTAAGTCTAGGTCAGCAATAACTAATTCTTTAATTCCTTCATACTCATGAAAGGAAGGATTGTAATTATGAGAAAAGCAATGTTTTCTACATTTCAAAGTATTAAAGCAGGAAGCTGTGATTGGCTTATTATGAGTGATGTTTTTCTCAAGTTTGTATTCATCCTTTTTTTGTCACTACTAAAGTTATTTCCAGTTAAAATAAATGGTCAGTTAAAAAAAAAAAAAAAAAAAAGACTCATTGAGACAGATATCTGCTCCAACCAGGCTTGGTGAGATTTTTTAGCATACTGTGTTCTGGGAAGAACAACATGGCTCTTTTTTAAAGTGTGGACTGGTGAGATAAGTCAGTGGGTAAAGGTGCCTGCCACCAAGCCTGATGACATGGATTCAATTTCATCTCACATTGGAAAGAAAATGTTGCTATCTTTGGTTGCTGCTTTTAGTAGTGTATGTATAATTTTACAAAGTAAAGCCTGGAGTTTTATATGAAGATTTTTAATAGATTTTTTTCCCCTTTCATTACAGTGTTCATAGTGTTTCAACACAAAGTAATGACTCCCAACAGGTAAGACAAACATTAAGTTTCTAAAATACTAGGACTCTTAAGTTAATTATAGTAAACTATAGTGGTATTAATTGGATTTCTTGGTAGTGTGTAGCCTTGTATAACTTTAGTGCATTTTCTTTTCCTTATCACTTAAGTGGCTCAGAAATGTCTAACCCCCTTCGTGTTTGACTAAGATGTTGTTAAGTAGAAAAGATGATCTATAGAACATTTTCTGTCGCTATAAATCTGGAGGACTCAGTTGTGAATGTTCAGTTATTATCTATCTAAAGTAGTATATAAAATTCAAACATTTACATCACATTTGTTCAATATATAGATATAGATACATATATATGGCATTCCATTTTAATATTCTGTTTCTAGGTGTTAGTGTTTTGTTGTAATTATGTTAGTATTTCTATTTATTGGCATTTGACCTTATATATAAGAAAATTGGATGATTTTTATACTTTTTGTCCAAAGGCTTGGGGTGTGAGGTCTCCTGTGCCTGTGATTCCTTCCTCATCCTCTGGTCCTGTGCTAGTGGAGATAGAGAATCTTCCACAGAGTTCTGCAACAAACTATCATGACAGAAAATGGTTTGTTAACTTCTTAAACCAAAATATTGCTTGCTTAATTTTATTCTAAAATTTAAGCTATAATCTTAAAGTACTTTAAATATGATTGAAAACAAATTATTCATATTTGTGAGCTGAAAAAGAGCATACTAAGCAGTCAGAGGGATGGCAGAGATAAAGTATGTAGATGAAGAAGGGAGTAATTAGATGGCTGTCCACATGCAGAACATGAGACAGCTGGCTTTCTCTTGATCAGCGTGGTCTGGGAGTGACAGGTGGTTTTCTGTTGACAAAGAGGTCCTTGCTAATCAGTAGAACTCTTCCTAGAGTCATAAGGAAAATGTTTGCTACATGTTACTTAGTACAGTGTGATGTTAATACTTTGGATACATTTGATACATTTTCTTCATTAAAGACTGAATATAAGCCTAAGAAAGAAACAAGATTAAAATCTAAAAAAAATAAATGTGAACTACTCCAGGTTTGAGAGCTTGAGAAATAATCTGCCTAGAGTAAAGATACTTATTTAAAGGACAAATACACAAATATGGATACTTTGTGGCTTGTTGGGTTTAATCAGTTGGGTTTATCCTTTTCTAGGTAGCTATGTGGCTTGGGGAGGGGTTCCTTGGAGATTATTTAGATTGAATGGTCATGTTGGGTATATCTGTTTAAGTTTTGTTTTCTATTTATTGAATGTACTTGGATGATTCATGGGATTTTTCTCTTTTTCTCTTGCTCTTAGTTTGTTTAATACCTGAAATCTAATGAGTTTCTATGGTGATCTCAAGGTTTTGGTCAGCTTTCTGTGCAGCCAATTCTTCCTTCATGGTGGTGGGTCAACAGTGGTTGGTGATTATTTCTGGTCTTTGCTATGCAAAATTCTTCCACTGGTATTGTCAGCTTAACTAACTACAGGACGCTTTGCTTGTGATAGTTGGGTGTATTTTATTTCAGTTCCAAATAACTTGCAATTAAATCTGAGGGCATTTCCTCCTTCATTTTGTCCTTTTAAATTGTTTTCTTTTTGCTTGGGAATGTGGTGAGGGTTCTTTAGGTGTGTACCCAGATATACACACCAAAAATTTAACAAATGAGGCCTCCAAATGTCAATTTTTATTCTTTATTTAACCATTAAAGTTTTAATTTCTCACTAAAAACACAGCCACTAAGCAGCTATGCCCCCATCTCCTTATGTTACCACTGAAGCCTATTGGCACAGAAAAAGAGTAATGAGACTTCATCTGCAAAACAACTGTCTTAGTATATGCGAGTCTTGATCATACCTAATGAGAGTCTGGTTACTTTACATCCTGTATTATGGCACTAAGTCTTTATTGAATTTCATTTTAATGAGTACATATTTAAATCTGTTTAACTTGATTTGTTAGGCACTATCAGTTCCTTTGATGCAGTCTTTAGAGAGAGTATTGAATTTGAGTGTCAAGAAAAATAGGGAAAACTTGGAACTGTATGTCCTTCTCTTATGTGATTGTGCTGAGACCTCCTTTGCTGAAGTCATGACCCTTAAAACCTGATGATCCTCAGCATATGTCAGCGGGGATTGAGAATGAATATGCAGCTGACACATCATAGAGCTAATTAATGGTTCTCCAGCCTTAATTTAAAATGCATTCTCCCTTTCATTCTTTGTTTCTGCATGCTTAGATTTCAAAGATATAAAGCAATCCTCCTTTAGAAAGTGGTAATAAAATTTGGAAACTGATGGCTAGGGTGAGCAGGGCGGAATAATAGAACAGATTATTCTGGCAGATAATTTGTGACAATTTAATTTAAACCTGCTCCCTGTTCAGGTCTTCAACTTTTTTTTTTTTTCCTGGCATCTTTTCAATGAAACCACTAATTAGGTGAATGATGTGAATTATTTTATTTGTTAGTAACTTAGAATCTATTAAAGTATCACCTTTGAGAAATTTTTTATATATCTTTAAATATTTAAGTTGTTATAAACAACAACAAGCCAAATGACAATGACTTGAGAGGCTGAGGCTGGATCTTCTGAATCCAGGGATTTAAGTCCAGCCTGAGCAACATTTAAGACCTTGTCTCAAAGAAAACATACCTGTAAGCCCCAGTGCTTGGGAGGCAGGTGCAGATGGATCACAAGTTTCACATCAGCCTGGGGCTACATAGTGAGACCCTGTCACAAAAACAGAAAACAGAAAGAAATAGAACTTCGAAAACCTTACATCTATAAGCCTAATTTAATTTTTAATTTTTTTTTTTGTCTTTTTGAGACAGGGTCTCCTTGTAGCCCCAGGTGTCCTGGGATTCACTATGTAGACCAGGCTGGCCTTAAACTCACAGAGATCTACCTGCCTCTGCCTCCCGAGTGTATTGCCTGCATGTATGTGAGTGCACCCATGTTGTGCAATGCCGCGGAGGTCAGAAGAGAGCTTCGGATTCCCCTGGAACTAGAGTTAAGGACAGTTTGTAGCTGCCATGTGGGTGCTGGGACTTGAACCTGGGTCCTCTGCAAGAGCAGTCAGCGCTCTTACCCATTGAGCCATCTCTCCAGCCCCAATTTTAAAATTTTTAGGGACCCTCAGCTAAGGGTCATAAATTTTATTGGTTAGATCTGATAAACAAGTTGTATTTCAATGAAAAGAAATAAAATGATGGTATAATCAACAACACTGGGTATAATAGTGCATGCCTTTGATCCCAGCACTTAGGAGGCAGAAACAGGTAGATCTCTGAGATTGGGGCCAACCTGATCTATGTAATGAGTTCCAGGTCAACTGGGCTACTGAAGATCCTGTCTCAAAAAATTAAAAACACCTTCCATATTTGTTTTGAAAAGTTTTATTTCAATTCCCCGATGAAAAAAAAGATTGAAAATTAAACAAATATTTTGGTTGTACTTGAAAAATGAGTTTTAAAATCTGATTTTTAATCATCTTTTACATTTGGAGTAATCTTTTGGTTATGTGAAGTATGTGCTACCGTTGTTGCCATATTACAGAAGTTTGATTTACTGAACCTTGTCAGATGTTTTCTTTCTACTGGAGGATTCCAATCACTTCAAATCAGAAACTGCATGTGTGCATGTTTACTGTTCTAGTTCTCTAGCAGTGTGATGGAAGGGCACCTAGCATGCTTATTTAAACCATTTGTGATGGAGACTTCGAAGCTCCTCGCTTTATCTGTACCTGTTGGATTTTATTTTGAGCATCTCCTAAGAACTCTGATTTCAGAAGGCTCAATCCTCATTGTTAATTTGGACACTGATATAGAATCACTTGGTGTCTGAGGGGGAAAGTTTTTTTTTTAATGCTCTTTGAATTTTGTTTCCTGGATTTTACTTTATTGAAATCATTTAATTTAGGAGATCATTTTCACAATTTCCCCTTCCATATATGTTTTTGTTCTTTAGTAAAATTTTTCTTTCAAATATATGAATTAAGTTCTGTTTAGAATTTTTTTTTTCATTAGAGACCCAAACATTTCCCAGTAACATCAGGGACAGATAGAGTGTTTGCTGTCTGTGAACTTCCTTCAGTAATTCCCTAAACTGATTCTGATTGCACGTATTTCCTTACAACATTTTTCATTACCTGTAACATATAACTTTATGGAGTCTCCTTTTTGCTAGTGAATATTCTCATTGCATGGTAGCTTTGAAACGCGGTGCATGCTGGTCACATTGCCCTTTCCTTTACACACCCATGTTCTCTTGCTCTTGTTAACTAACTGTACTCCCCACTCCTCAACCATCCAGGCTTTCTGCTACCAGTGATCGCTGCCAACGTGGTGGAAACCAGTGGAACACAAGGGCCTTGCCCCCACCCCAGACTGCACATAGAAACTACACTGACCTTGTACACGAGCACAATGTGAAGAATGCAGGAGCCCATCATGACGGTCATTTTTCTGGCCGTGCAGCCATGACTGAGATATAAGTTGTTAAATCTTTCAGGCCTTGGAACTCTTATCTTCCAAGTTGATGATCTGTTTTCAAGTGTTTATAAAGGATGGGTTACTTTAGCAGTATTTGGGAAAATTTATTTTATGCCGAGTTATGAGTACTCATGAGAATTTGTGACTGATTTCTGTGGAAGGACAGAGGATCTGAAGAAGTTATTAGCCATCACTGACAGTGACAAATGTTGCTGTGATGAAAGGGCATGCCTACCTCTGGGACCGTGGAAGGGTTTTGTGATTTTAGCATTTTAGCACATCACCCAAAATATCTCTTAGGAGTTTTCTGTTTGTGACAAACTCCCTGTTGTCATCCTACCACATGCCATCTAAATAGATTGAGACTTAAACAATAAGACACAAAACACACCCAAAAGGAAGCATGTTCAGTCATGATGTGTCTGCCCTTTGTGATATTATGGCAGTACTGTTCTGATACACTATTTTAATTTCTAAAGTGATCTGTGCCTAATTGGCTAAGTGCCTGATGTTTTAATTAATAAAAATTTAATACACTTTTACTTTTTAAATATTTTATTTATTTTTATTTTATGTGTATGAGTGTATTGCCTGCATGTAGGTAAGTGCACCCATGTCGTGCAGTGCCCACGGAGGCCAGAAGAGGCTATTGGAGCCCCTGGAACTGGAGTTATGGACAGTTGTTAGCTGCCATGTGGGTGCTGGGATTTGAACCCAGGCCTTCTACAAGAACAGTGTTCTTAACCGCTAAGCCATCTCTCCAGCCCCACACTTACTTTTTAATAAATATTTTGTTACCACAGGGCTAGAAATCACAATAACAGTATGATTCATGTAGAGAGATACATTTGATGATACTATTCAAGTTATATTACTCCAAATGGTTATACCAAATGTTTATACATCTTTCTTTTTACATTAACTCTTTTCTTTCTCATTGAAAACCCTGACAAATCACCCAGGCTTGCAACAGCCTCATAAATCTGGCCTTGTACAACCTTTAAAATAAAATTCTAAAGTAAAAATCTTACCATTTTGAAATGGATTGAATATATATTTCTACTTTTGGTCCTTTTTAAAATTCACAGTGTAGTTATTCA